TAAATGTATTTTTTCCTCTAACTAAATATATATTTTAATTTGTTAGATTCTTTTTCCATCTTTTTTACTTATAAGACCAATAATTTTAATTAATCTTTTACATATCATTTTATCTTTTTTTTTTTATATAACATGTATTAATATCACTCATATTAAGAATATTTTAATCTCTTTGTATTAGTCTTTGTTTTAAATTATATTAATTATTAATTTAAGCCTTTACACCTCGTTTTTCTATTTATTCTCCAATACAAACATCAAACACAATGGTTATTTTTTTTAAAAAAAATTAACAAGAATATGAAAGCTTGATGAATTTGAGAAAAAAAGATGGTTTATAGTACAATAAATGAATTATAGTTGTCCTAATATTTAAAAAATTAAATTAATAGAAATATTACTTGCATGCTCACTCATGCATTGTCTAATGGAATAATAGATATTTTGTTTGACAATTGTAATATACATGAGACTAAATGAAAGAACTCAATCTAAAAATAATAGAATTACATAAATAAAGATAAATAAAAATAGAAAATAAGATAAAAAACCCATGGATGGTAAAAATAAAAGTGAATATATCATGTCATAATCATACAATTTTTTAGCAAATATGAGAATAATATGCGACATAAAAAAGATTAAAACATTACATACATATATTTGCCACTCATTTTTTAATATCCATGTCATTTAGAATGGTATAAGTTAATAAATAAAACCATATTTCTACAAAAGTATTGGAAGAATTTGAGATTATTTTTATGAAAAGAATAATCAGTTATTAGATGAAAATTAAACTAATATTACCTTTGCAAAAAGAAAAAGAGGTTGAATGAATGAATCTTCAAATGTGAGAGCATCAAATAATCAAATAGGAAGCAAACTCCGTACATAAAGAACGTCAATATAAGAAAACAAAGTTTTTATTTTTTTAAATAAAACACCATCACTAAATTTCATTAATTGGTTGGGTAGAAGAGAAATAGGAAAAATAAAAGAAAACCAATGAAGAAATTTAGCATAGGCAATATAAATTTACCTAATTTAGTAATACAAAAAATTCTTAAAGAACCTCATAATTAACGCTTCTCTAGATAATACCTTTTCCATCAAACCAAACCAACATTATATTTCAAACTAAAATTTGAAAACCCATCATAAAAAGCCACCAAAAATATAAAACTACCACCAAATTTTTTAATCAATTTTGTTTTTATGAAAAGAATAAGAAGCTACTACTGAAATTAAACTAATACTACCTTTGAAGGTAAGAAAAAAAGCAGAATAAACAAATCGCCCAGTGTGAAAAAAACAAATAATCAAAAAAGATGTAACAAAGTCCCTATAAAGAGAAAATCAACATAAGAAAATAAAATAAAAGTTAAAAAAAAAAAAAGAACAGCCTTACTGAATTTTATTAGTTGGTTAGGCGGAAGAGCAAAAAAACTCCGATGAGATTATTTACTTCTAACAACAATCTAGTTATTGCTAGAATTCGCCTAGAAATGACATTGGGAGATGAGTGAATGAAGGATGAGATCAAAATGATAGGCTTAATACCACATAATAAAATTAATCCTCCTTCTAATAAAACGTTTATCTAACAGGAATAAAGGCCTGTGTGGTGCAGCTTATTAGAGTTTTTGCTTTTTTGGTACCGTTCATGAGTGACAAGTTTAAATTTTTATTAGAAGAAAAATTTAAGAGTTGCTTTTAAAAATAAGAAAAAATGAGTAAAAATGAAGTTTATAAAAAGTTTGAATTTCAAGATTTTGATCTTTTATTGTTTAGGATCTTTTTAAGGTTAAACAAATGTTTAAAAATATAAGTTTTTAGGAGAAAAATTTAAACTTATGAAACATAAATAGTGTAAAAAAGCTGAAGTACTTAGGAAGCTGTACCAAAAGGACCTTAAGAATGATAGTATAAGTAAGGAGATAAAAAATAAGAATATAAAGGAAAAGAGGTCGCAAAATATATAATATCTCCATAACAGTATTTATAATACATTCAATACATTTTAAAATATAAAATTACTATACTATTTTGAGAAAGAAAATTACTATACTATTAAAATCACATAATAAACACTTATTAATTGTAAGTTAATGTAGGAGATAGAGGGTTACCTCTCTATAGATGTACTTAGCTTTTAACATGCATTTAGTAATTAATATGCATTCTAATGTTTTATTTTTACCCCCTATAAAACTTGGGGTTTATTCATTTTAATAATGATAAAATATTTGAGAAGAGAAAGAAAATAAAAAATTAAAATAATGAATACATTTATTACATTTTAATGTAAAAATGATATTTTTAAATTTGTTAACAAAATTTTTTCTATAATTAAAATAAAAATGACAAATTTTAATGCCTATTAAATTCTTGAGTATAGTCTTTAATATTATGTATATATATGGGTATAACAACAGATATAGATAAATATCTATATAGATATAGATAAATAGATATAATTTACAATGCTTAAATTTGAAATACGAGATTTTTGAAATTTTAGCAATAAAATATTTTAAGATAAAATAAAATATGTAACATAATTAAAGAAAAATAAAAATTGATAGTTTGAATCAAATACACATCAATATTGAGGAAAAGCAATCGAAGCACCTACATAATGCAATCAATTTTTAAACATTTTGTTTTTGGACACTGATTGGTGCACACTTGAATCCCACACTCAAGTGTGCACCTCCCACATAAAAAAAAAAAAAAATTAGACCGGGTGATGGGTATTTTTTTTTTTAATGTGGGTTGTGCACACCCGGCTGTGGGATCCAGATGTGCACAAATCATTTTCCTTTGTTTTTACATTCTTTATTATTATTTTTTTTGATGAATCAAAAGTGCTATTAATAAGAAGAGTACAAGGGATACTCACCCATGTATTACATCAAAAGTTCAATAAGAAGTTAAAAATCAACTGCACAATGAAGTGGGAATTGATATCAGTCCACGAAATTGAACTTAACATAGATAGAGTTTCCTTTGATCCAGCAGAAAGTTCTAGATTGAATTAAGTCAATCATTACATTCTTTATTGTATTTTCATAATAATAGTTAGACTCTCACTTTCACTATCCTTTAATTTCCTATCTTTACGTTACTAAAATATAAAATATGTACAATATGAATTAACTGAAATTGATTTAAAAAAAAAATACTTATAAATCCTAATAAAATCCCAAGCTGGCCCTTTTCACTATCACATCATTTGTTTCTACCATCAAATTTAATTCTAATCATTATTAGATTGGTTATAATTTGCATTTTATTTTTTCATTAAATTAAATTAAATAATTAATTAAAATGAAATAAAACTTTTCATTTTCAATTATGGTATAATAATAGTAATTGTGGTTATATTTTTTCGTTAATTTTTTAATAAATTAAATTAAAGCTTTTTAATAAAAATGAAAAAATGATTATGAAATGGAAAAATGTTTAATAAAAATTTGAAATAATTAATTAGTAGTTAACATTCTTGGATAAATTTCAATTTTGAATGTATGAGGTTAAATTTTAACAATGTATAAAATTTTAATTAATTTAGTAAAATTTTGATTTTATATATTCAATTTTTACTTAAACAAAAACAATTTAACATAAATTCTCAATTTTGACAACTTTGCTAGACATTCTACATAAAATACAATACAAATTAAATAAAGAGTAAGAATTAACTTACACACAATTTTTACATATATTATTTATAAAAAATTCAACCATTTAAAATTAAGAGTTGAAATTATCAAGATTTTGTGTAAATAATACATATAAAAGTTGTGCAGAAGTCAATCTTAACTTTTAAACAAATGACAAATTTTGTTATCACTAACTCTACATCAAATATTAGTTTCTAGGAAAAATGGTAAATGTCGTTTGAAGCAGGGTAAGCAGAAGCAAGAAAGCTGCAGCAAGAAAGCTGCAGCAAGAAAGCTGCAGCAAGAAAGGAGATGAACGCCCATGGAGTGTTGAAATAGTTGTGCCTTAAGCTTGCCATCCTTCTGTTCCAAAGTGCATTGTAATGCTCATTGACATCATGACATAACCGGGCATAGAATTCGCTGGAGACGCCGACAATGACATTATCTCCGATCCTATTAAACACGGTTGCAACAGCCTCATCATTGCCTAACATATTTTCAATTATTCCACAGTGACAAAGTTGTAACGGTAGCTATACCAGAAAACACGCAAGGCAAAGATCAGAGATCCGAGGTCACTGCACCTCGGCTGCGGGACTCAGAGCTTACCGCACCTCGGCATCTCGCCGAAAGTGTATGGCAGCCACAATAGGCATGTCCTCATCTGATCATTTGTCCCTATCAGAACACCCTTTCTCAAGGGACTTGCTCCGTCAGAATACACCACGCGCATTTAATGCGATTACTCCGTTAAGGCACGTTACATTCACCTAAAACGTCTACTCTGTCAGGCGCACTATGTCTCCATTATTGGATTGACTGAGCCACGTGGGTGCGGATGAGCCACGTGGGTGCGGACAAGCCACGTGGGTACCTTGCCAAGATGGACAAAGCCCACAAGGTAAGGTTCGATAAATAGGCGGAACAAAAAGGAAAACATTATTAGAAAAATACTGACTTAAGCATCGGAGTTTCTCCCCGAGGACCAACCTCGGGATTTTGCAGGACCATTTGGAGAAGGATCGACTTGAAGCAGGAACTCAAGGATATTCAGCAACTACATTGGCGCCATCTGTGGGAACACGAACAAAAGCCATCACCAGAAGTTAAGATGGTACACACACGAGCAACCCAGCGCGGGAGTCCTCCCCAAGGCCAAGGAAAAGGCCAGCCCCCAAGTGTCAACCCCGTGTCGCAGAATGCACCGGTTGTAGCCCCCCAACATCAGCAGATGGAGGGAGTTGGGGAACATAATCCACAATATCCCAACGCCGTAGCAAGCGACCCTGTGACCGCTCAACTCAATGCCATGCAACAACAATTCGAGGTCTTCCAGCTAGCACTCGCCCAACTGTTAGCCAGAGATAACCCCGCTGACCCACTTATCCACTTACTAAACCTAGCTCCTCTTGTGGCCCCCCAACCAGCTCAACAGCCTGCCAACTCCCCAGTTTGTAGTGTCGCTCCGACTGCTTCCCAAGCACAATCCCACATGCCACCCCAGCCCTAAAACCAGCCCCAGCCAGCTGCCTCAGATGTCTCAAAGAGGCTAGACAACATAGAAAAGTTGTTAGCCGAAAACAAAAACCCACAACCACAGACCCCACCTATATTAACCTCCATCCCCACTCCTCTCAATACCAAAATTACCCAAGAGCCATATCCACCCGGTTTCAGGATGCCGCAGTTTGAAACGTATGATGGCACCAAAGACCTTGACGACCACCTACATGCATTTTTCTCCGTCATGCAGGCTCAAAACGCCTCCGACGCACTCATGTGCAAGATGTTCCCCTCCACATTGCGCGGCAATGCCCGGACTTGGTATCACACCTTGCGCCCGAACTCAATTAATGCATATGCCGAGCTGGCCACCTCCTTTGCCACCAAATTCTCAAGCAGAAGGTTGATCAAAAAGATGACACCCAAGCTCATACGCATAACACAAAGAGAAGGTGAATCCTTGAAGAACTACATAAACAGGTTCAATGACGCCATGCTGGAGGTCAAGACCTTCGATGAAGCAGTGGGAATAACTGCCGTGATACATGGCCTCAACCATGATCGGTTTCGAGATAACTTGATCAAGAACACCCCAACCACTTTTGACGAAGTCAATCAGAGATCCCTCAAATTCATTAAGGCCGAAGAGTACGTTCTTTCCAAACCCCAGCCCTCCAAAGAAGCTAGAACTCCTGCATGGAGAGAAGAAGGGCAGAGCAGAAAAAAGTTCAAACCCACACAGAACCGAGGCCCAATTCCGGTTCCCAAGCTAGACAGGCCCGGCTCCAGTGCCCCGCAAGCGCAACATAGGCAACCCTCATGGACCTCCTTCACAGTTCCGAGGTCGCAAATTCTCATGCAAATCAAGAATAAGATGGAGCTGAGGAGACCAGGCCCCTTACGGAGCCCAGCAGCAAGCAGAGACCACACCAGATACTGTGACTTTCACCAAGATCACGGGCATACCACGGAAGATTGCCACAGTTTGAAGTTCGAGCTCGAAAGCTTGGCTCGGAAAGGGATGTTGAATGAATACATCCAGAGCAGAAGTTTGCTAAAGTTTGTCAAAGAACAGGGACAAGCCCAAGGATCCCGAGCAGCAAACAACAGAGATGGGGTAGGCTATCAACAAGCACCGCCACCTCTCCCACCCCCATCCAGAGTCATTCACATGATAACTGGTGGGCTTGAAGCAGGAGGCACAAGCTCAAAACAGCAGAAGCTGTACGTGAGGGAGGTCAAGCACCACAATACAGCTCAGAAAAGAAAAATTGAAGAGGAGGATTGGAAAAACCAGTCTGTGACGTTTACTCCAGCTGACTTTGAGGGAGTCGTCACGCCCCATAGTGATCCATTAGTCACCTCGGTCATCATTAACAACTGCGAGGTCCAGCGAGCGCTCATCGACACCGGCAGTGCCCCAGATATAATGTATTACCATTGCTTTGAGAGCCTCAGACTCGACCCTGCCCTCCTGCAAAAGTATGACGGGCCCATCTATGGGTTCAATAACTAGCCAGTACCCGTGGAAGGAGTGCTGCGGCTCAACGTGGCGTTTGGCTCCTAACAGACGTATGTAACACCCTCAGTCAGATTCCTGGTAGTGAAAATGGCTTCATCTTTCAATCTCGTCATCGGGAGGCCGACTTTAACCGAGATTCGAGCTATAGTGTCCCAGTCCCACCTCTGCAT